AATGGATTTTGGAGGGATGCTGTTCAACCCTCTACGCCATCTAACAGAACTTCCCTAAGGCAGACTAAAAAAAGTACTTCATCGAGGATGTCAAACAGATGTCCCCAAGGCCTTGGGGATGGTCTACCAGGGGACCACAGCCCCAGGCCTGCCCCCTGGGTGGGTAGCACCCTGAAAAGACAAGGACAACTCAAGGCAGGAATCCAAGAAAAAGAGGACATTCTCTGGGTCAGTGTATTTAGAGATCAAGTCACATGTGTCCCTGAACCTATATCTTTCCTCTGGCATTAGTTATAAACTATTTCCTTTTTTTAATTGTTTTGTAGGCATGGACAGAATGCCTTTATTTTATTTGTTTTTATTTTTATGTGGTCCTAAGGATCGAACTCTATGCCTCACTCGAGCTAGGCAAGTGCTCTGCCACTGAGCTACAGCCCCAGCCCAGTTATGAACTGTTTCAAACCTAGAATGAGGGCTGGGGATGTGGCTCAAGCGGTAGCGCACACCCAGGTTCGATCCTCAGCACCACATACAAACAAAGATGTTGTGTCCGCTGAAAACTAAAAAAAAATAAATAGTAAAAATTCTCTCTCTGTCTCTCTCTCTCTCACCTCTCTCTTTAAAAAAAAAAACCTAGAATGAAACCCAGAAAGCAACATGTCAAGACTCCTGTATTTACCATCCAGCCTGGAAAAATGCTAACATCTGTCCTATTTTCTTTAGGTTAATGGAACCACACCTCAAGTTCCCTTCTTTGTCTTCCTAGTCCTCTCCTCTCCTCTCCAGCAGTAAGCTGTCTTCTGAGGCTCTGAGGCTCCAGTGTGGTTATATAGTCTGACTTACTATTTTTTGATTTTTACAAGTCAAGAGAAAGCAATGCACATTCAGTAGAGACCATACTGCACTGTTTGAATTCTGGTCTTTTGCAAGCTAGCAGTGTGTGGTACGATCTGCTCTCATGATGCTGGACACACCTGGACCTCGAGAATAAACAACCAACATTCTACAGTGCACTGTGTCACTACAACGATGTCAATGGGGACTGGGGTTGTAGCTCAGTGGTAGAGCACTTGCCTATCATGTGTGAGGCACTGGGTTCGATTCTCAGCACCACATATGAATAAATATGAATAAATAAATAAAAGCCCCATCGACAATTAAAAAATGTTTAAAAAAAAAGATGTCAATGGATTAATGGGATTTTCCACCAAACATTATGGGTGCAAGATTTATCCATAGGGCCCAGTGGTGCATTTCCACATGCCTATAACTTTGGTGACTACAGAGGCTTAGGCAGGAGGACTGCAAGTTGGAGGCCAGCCTCAGCAACTTAGTGAGAACCCATTTTAAAATAAAAAGTGCTGGGGGTGCAGTCCAGTAATACAACACCTCTAAGTTCAAAAATCCCCAGTACCACATAAACATACACAAGATTTATCCATATTGATTTTTGTAGTTTCATTTCATTCATTATAACTACTGCAAATTTATTTCTCTGTTTTCCTGTTAAAGAACATTTCAGTAATTTACTGTTAGCAAAAAATAACACATTGAACATCTTTTTACTTTTCTCTTTGGATTTGCATTTTAGAGTTTCCCTAGAGCATATGACAGGGCTTCTGAACAGGGCCACTATCCACTAAGATGCCAGTAGCACCTGTCCACCTCTGCACCCCAGTGGGAACCATTGAAAATGTCTCCAGTAGCCAAATGTTCCCTGAAGAACAAAATCACCAGCCGTTAAGGACCAATGCATATATGCCTAAGAGGAGCACCAAGTTGTGAAGTGGGAGCAACTGACCTTGGGATACTGTCAAAGGCATCTCAGAGTGGCTGTGCAAATGTGCATCCCACCAGTGACACGAGAGCCCGTTTCCCCACATCCTCCCAAAGCCAAATGTTGCTTCAGAATTTAGCAATTTTGTCCCTCTGCTGGGTATGACCTGGTATTGATTTTAATTTTAATTGGCATGTGCCAACGTTTGTTTTCATAGATGATAGCAATCACCCTTCTCAGGAGTTATGCTGGGTTTTTGTTAGCTTCTTCCCTTTGGAGGGATTGCTGGACTGTGGCGCCCAGCACTGGGAACCCTGAGCTAGAATCTGCTGCAGAGCATGCAGCAACAGAACTGGTCTCCCCGCCCATCCCAAGAGGATGGCAGGAGAGAGGAGGCCTTCAGAGGAGGCACAGACCCCTGTGCTATGGGAAAAGGTGAGCACTTTGCACCTTTTCTAAGTTACCTGGACTTGGGGGGAAATGCAGATATTGGAAGGAATGCGCTTCACTCTTCCTCCTCATGTGGAAAGGGGCAGGAGGGCTGCGGGCAACAGCATCCCCAGCATCCAACCCACAGCCCACCCACACCCCAGGGCAGCTGCTACAGCTACGATGGCTGTTGTGAACAGCAGCAGTAGGCAGGTGTGGGGGAGAAAGCACCAGGCACAGGTAGCTTCAGGACATAGGGGAGCAGGAGAGGAGGTCCCCCAGCCCAGGCCCCAGGCCCTGGCTCACAGTGTAGGCAGTGGCAAGGATTCTTTGGAAGACTCCAACAAGGATAAAAAGGGAGGAGTAAACCGGTTGGTACCAACAAGGACAAAAAGGGAGGAGTAAACCGGTTGGTACGGGTGAGGGCACACCTGCCTGTGGGCTCCATTGTCACATCACCAGGTTATCCTTTTTTGTAGGATAGAATAGCTGAGGTGGGGGGCCATAGTTATAAACCCAAAGTCAGTTACACAGATCCATGATTCATGTGTTAGTTGAACAACATGGTGAAATTGTAAATTCTTTTTTTTCTCCTTAGTCCCAGGGACTGAACCCAGGGGTACTTAGCCACTGAGCTGAATTCCCAGCCCTTTTTATTTTTTATTTTGAGACTGGGTCTCACTAGGTTGCTATCAGCCTCACTAAAATGCTGACAGGCTGGCTTTGAACTTGAGATCCTCCTGCCTCAGCCTCCTGAGCCTCTGGGATAATAGGCATGCACCACCACACCCAGTGAGGCTGTAAATTCTTTAAAGGCAGGGATCATGTCATGTTATTCCTCCAAATACTCCACCACAGTTAGAACAGAGCTGGATCCATAAGGTTTTAATAACATCTGTGGGCTCATATTGGGGGGTCCCCATAAAAAGATGGCATGAAATGGACTTAACTCATTACCCACTCACATACCTTTTTCTTTTTTAAAAAAAATATTAAGTGCTTTTAATTCTATGACTTCATTTTTTTTCCCTAAAATATCTATACAGTAAGAAAAGAGGTACGATTCAGCCCATTTTATAGAAAGGATTATTTAGATCCAGCAATGATTAATTGATGTGCCCCTAAAGACACAGACTCAACACTGAAACTGAGGCCTACTGGCTCCCCTTGAATCTCTTTCCCATTGCTATGTGATCCTCGCCCTCGTCCCTGTTCCCACAGCTTGGTCTCTACTAAAGTGCCCCAGACACGTCATGGGTTTTGTTCTTAACAATGCAGAACACCAACAAACACCCACTTGGACATCAATAGAGCCCAGCAGATGATAGAAGTGAATGGCCAATCTCTGTTCACTGAAGAAAATCTATGTACCAACATGTAGTATGTTGAGGGGCAGGCATGCAAAAAGGGTGAGTGTCCAGGTGAGAAGACAGGACTTCAGGACAGGGGTTTGGAGAAAACTTAGAAGCACATCTTGGTTTTCGATATAGATGTACAGCAAGATCAGGTAGAACACACCAGGAGTCCATGATAAAAGGAGAAGGTTAAATTCTTATTAAGATAAGAGTTATTTTCAGTTCTTTGGTTATATTAAGTTCTGAGGGAGGAATGTGAAGAACAATCCTTGAGGATAAAAGGAATCCTGTCTTGCTGGGCATGGTGACACATGCCTGTAATCTTCACAATTTGGGAGGCTGAGGCAGAAGGATTACAGATGCAAGACCAGCTTCAGCAATTTAGTGATACTCTGTCTCAAAATAAAAAATAATAAGGGCTGGGGATGAAATTCAATGGTAAACCCCCGCCCCCCCCCCGTCCCCCCGGGGCTAAATCCTCAGTTCAGAAAGAAAGAAAGAGAGAAAGAAAGACTGACTCCTTTCTTGTCAAGAGGTCTCTCCCTTGACAAATAAGATGCAGGATCCAACTTAGAGGTGGGGGCTTTAAGACTGTATGAAGTTTTACTCTGTGTCTTATATTTCTTTACTAATAGGAATTTTAAAAGTTTCTAAAATCTAGTGTTATTCCCAGGACTGAAGTCAAGAAAGGAAAGCTGAGACTAAATATGAGAAAGAAATACTAATTCTTTTGTTGTTAATATCGAAAATCATTTATTCTAGAATTGTGTACCAGGCATTTTGTCACAACACTGGTAGAAGATAGGTACTATTACCATTAGAATTTTTCATAGAAGGAAACTGAGGCTCAGAGAGTTTAAGTAACTGCTCAAGGTTAACACAGTCAGTAACAGGCTGGAGTCAAATCCTGGTCACCCTCTCTTAAGTCTCAATCTAGATGCTACTGTGCTAAATTGAGTCTACAGGTATATATGTATCTGTACTGCAGTGGTGAGAGGACTAAGTTATTCAAGATATTTTCTTTAGCCGGAACTTGTGGTTGCAAGTCAGAAATCCCAGTAGCTAGAGAGGCTGAGGCAGGAGGATGATGAGTTCAATGCCAGCCTCAGCAAACTCAAGGCCCTAAGCAATTCGGTGAGACCCTGTCTCTAAATGAAATAAAAAAATAGGGCTGGGGGTGTGGCTCATTGGTCTAGTGCCCCTGAGTTCAATCCCCAGCACAGAAAGCAAGAAGGAAGAAAAAAGTTTTCTTTTACAAAGTTTAAAATCTATGTCCTCGGAAAATGCATATTGTCGCCAGACATGGTGATGCACGCCTGTAATCCTAGCGGTTTGGCAGGCTGAGGCAGGAGGATCACAAGTTCAAAGCCAGCCTCAGCAACACAGCCAGGCTCTAAGCAACTTAGCCAGAACTTGTATCGAAATAAAAGGGGTGGAGATGTGGCTCAGTCGTTAAGTGTTCTTCAGTTCAATTACTGATGTCACGAAAAGAAAGAAAAGCAAACCGTCAGAGGATACGGGGCTGATGTCAATAGCTCTGGTGCAGCAGGTGATAAGTGGTTTTGGAGGGTACCTAATGCTCAAGTGGGACGAAAGCTCAGGTATGTGGCCAGAGGAAGGCGCGAGCACCCAGACACAGGAAGAAAACCAAGATAGCTCAGACTTGAGGAAAGAAGAGCCCCAATCCAGAGGCGCTCCGGAGAAAGACCAGGAAAGGGCTAGAGGTGCAGGAACCCAGAACCTCCAGATTGCTCAAGAATCGCTGGACCGGGCAGTCGGTCAAGCTGCTCTAAGGCGGGGACAAACCCAGAGCTTGAGGGACGGGAGTGAGGGGACTGCAGCCGCTGCACCTTGGCCCCTCCCTCTGCTTCCTTTCTGGGGGGAAAAAAATTCTCTACAGCCACCTGGGTGAGTAACGGCGCTCGAAAGCCATCTAGTGCCCAGCCCCGTCTTTTTTTCTTAAAAAAAAGTTCTTGGTCAAAAGCTGCCTCTTCAAGGAAAGCTTTGATTGGCCCTCTCCGCCCCCTGGGTCAGCCAATCAGAAGCTTGTTGCCAAGGCGGGGCTTCTCCAAAGAGGGCGGAGGCAGCGGGTGTGGCCGCTGTTGCCGAGCTAGGAAAGCAGATTTGCTAGCCTGCTGGGTGGCTCTAAGTCTTAGCCAGCTGCTCTCTGTGGGGATTGAGGGACGTGGGTGGGTGACTGAAGGAGGAGCCCTCGGCCCATATCCGGGAGGGAGGGAGCCAGACACCTGCCTGCCCTTCCACCCCCAGCCTGCCCTCGCTCTAATTTCCCTGCCACTCTCCCTTGCTGGGCAGGTCTGATTCCTGGCAGCCCGTGAACAGATCTCCAGGATCTGAGCTGAAAGCCATCGTCGTTGCTACCAACCCCAAGACATACTAAGGAAGAAAACTACCTGGCAAAAGGTGCAAATAACACCCACCTCACACTTTAGGGGCACACCAGACTGAAATGAAGACAATTCTGGTTTGTGGTGTGTGCCCCAATAGTGACCAAGTGACCTGTGGGCAGGTTCAGAGGGGCTAAAGAGAATGAAAAGGATCCCAGGAAGCAGGAACTTAAATTGCAAGCCCCCTGAACAATTTAAGTTTGCCATCCCATCTGTAAAATCCAGCTAACGATAATGCCCAAACTGCCACAAAGCAAAGATCTGGACCAGAAGATGTTAGAGCCCAAGGACCTGGAGCGTTGGCTCAGCCTGGTGAAGCTGGAAGAGAAGGCTACCAGAACAGGACTATTTTAATAATAGTAAAGACCACAGTTCCAACCAAGCTCAATTACAAATGGGAAAGGGTGGAGGCAAATATACACCCTTGAAAAATCGCCCTTTGGCCTCACACGCAATTCCCAAGTCCCCTGTTTCTCTTCTATTGTGTAGCCTATATAAATGACCCCTGACCTGGTGATGGGAACAAAAATTATATTATTTATTTATTTATTTTGGTACTGGGGATTGAACCCAGGAGCACTCTACCACTTAGCTGCATCCCCAACCACCCTCCACCACCACACTTTTTAGACAGGGTCTGGCCAAGTTGCTGAGAACTGTCTCAGTCTTCCAAACTGCTGAGATTACAGGCATGCATCACCACATCTGGCAAGAATAATATTTAATAACAGTTATTAAGTCCTTACTATGAGCCAGCACTCTTCCTGGTGCCTCTTTATGTCAATCAATACTGAGCAGGAACAAAGGAACAAATTTTAGCCTTTTTTTCTTTTGGTACTGGGGATTGAATAGGGTGTTTTACCACTGAGCCACATCCCCATCCCCTTTTGTTTTTATTTTGAGACAGGATCTCTAATGGGTTAGGCCCTGCTAAATTGCTGAGGCCGGCCTTGAACTTGAGATCCTCCTGCCTCAGCCTCCAAGTCACTGAGATTACAGGCATGCGCCAACATGCCCAGCCCATCTTCATTTTAAAGAAAATGGAGGCACTAAAAAGTTACAGACTTTGTAGGCTGCTATAGAGCTAATAAAGGGCACAGCTGGAGTCTCACATAAGTAATAGTTTCTATCTGGGGACACCATCTGATCTTAATCTTCAGGATGTAGCCTTTCCTGCACTATTGTCAAAAAAAAAAAAAACCAAAAGATTAGAATGGTTGCTTTTTTTGGGGGGGGATACTGGGTACTCGACCACTGAGCCACATCCCCAGTCCTATTTTGTATTTTATCCCTACCCTATTTTGTATTTTATTTAGAGACAGAGTCTCACTGTGTTGCTTAGCACCTCACTTTTGCTGAGGCTGGCTTTGAACTCAAGATCCTTCTGCCACAGCCTCCCCAGCCGCTGGGATTACAGGAATGAGCTACCATGCCTGGCAGAATGCTTGCCTTTTGAAGCAGTGTATACCTCCAAGAGCAGGACCTTCTGTTCTGTCTTCTCAAGATTCCCAACAGACTGGCTACATGACCTCACCTTATAAAATGCAAACAGGGCTGGCAGTGTAGCTCAGTGGTAGATCACTTGCCTAGCATGCATAAGACCCTAGGTTCCATCCCAACACTGCAATAAATAAATAAATAAATAAATAAACAAATAAATAAATAAAATGAAACGAAACCAGGTAAAATGGGGATTTTTATGTTAGGTGAATTTTACCACAATAAAAAAGCAAAAATGAAACCAGGTCTCACTCATCTGTCCAGTCATGGTCACCTGAGCCAGTCTGGAACATCCCTAAATGCCACAAGAGATAAAGTGGTGATCTCGCAAACGTCACAGCTTTGTTGTCTGTTTCTAAAAACGGATCCCTCTTTAGGCAGACACTAGCATTGAAGGTGGGGAATAGTGGGCAAGAAAACAGGAAGTTGAGCCTGAGGACCTGGAGCTCTCAGTATCTGATCCCTTCTAGAGGGCAGTCTGCTGTTTCGCTTCTCTCTCCCAGATCCTCTACCCTCTGAGTTTTCTGCTCGGCCACTCCCACCGCCTGCACCCGTTGCCCATCTCCTGGGGCACACCATCTGCCTGTCCTCCCCCTTCTCCAGGGACTTAGCTCCTTTCATTGAGACCTTTAAATAATTAAATGCCCCAAAGCCTCCCCCACGCTGATCCCCAGCCCCTGGCCTGGGGTGTTATTCAAAGCCCAGGAGCTGGGCTGGAGGACTGCCAATCCCACCGCCTCTATTCAGCTCTTTTCTTTCCCGGCTCAGCTGCTGGGCGGCGGCTAATGGGCCTTTTCTCTTGCTTTGGCCCCTCCGCATGCCAGGCCTTGTTGAGAGAGGAGAGAGGAGAGAGGAGAAGAGCTGTAAGGCACCGATGAGTGGGGGACTGGCAGGCCGGCTCTGGGAAGTCCTCACTCCTAGGCTGGGGGGTGGGGAGGGCGGAAGACTCCAGATCCACCTCTCAGGGGGAAAGGGATGGGACGGAGGGTGGACAGAGAGGATCGGCTGGGCTTTGCCAGCTGCTCAGCCCAGCGGGAACGGGGGCCACTGCCTCTACCCCTGGGGAGCTGTGAAGCCTAGCGGGGAGAAGAGGGGTTGTGACATGGGAGGGGGCGGGGTTGTCAATCACCAGAGTGCAGTGGGGCCCGAGCAGCCTCCTCATGCAAATGATCCTGTTGAGTCACTGAAACTTTGGTCCAGACACAAAGAAGCTGTTTCTGTCCCCCGTCGCCTCCCTCCTTCCCTCCCCGCCCTGCAGCAGCCCCCTCCCAGCCCTGCCAACAAAAGGCCGGAGCCCAGCGGCGCGTGAAGGAGTGAATGGGCGAGACCCTCCCCGGTGACGTCCCACCAGACAGATGGCAACAGTTGCCCCACACCAGTTGCAAGCCTCCTTTCATCCTTCTCCCAGTCATAAAGGAGAAAGGCCCGTCCCTCCAGAGCCCAAGCAGCTCCTCAGCGCCGACCCAAAGACGGGGTGGGGGAGGGGCCGCCGGGACCGAGGTGAGAGGGGAACCGACGCTGGTCGTTTGGCTGCAAAACAAAAAAGTATGCTGAAAGCGCCGGCTCCGGGGCCAGCTTGCCCATCTGTCCTCCTTTGGGGAAGCGCTGCCCCCACGCTCCTCCTAGGCTTCTGGCCAGCGCTGTGCAGAGAGCCAGGGCCCCTGGGAAGGGAAACCGTAGTTTGGGGCAAGCACACTAAGCATGGGGCTTTGTGTTTTGAAGCTGACATCAGGCAAAAATCCCTTGGCAGGCCATTGTTTTGCCTCTTCAGAAATAGGTTAAATGGAAAATCCAAGGCCCCGGGGACAGGTGGAGAATGGGGGATCTGGTGTTCTGCGATTAAATAACGGTGTGAGTTGGCACGGAAAGGGATTCAAAGTCATCTACAAGGACTCTCAGACGCTAAGAAGCTAGTGACAAGGAGTGGGCCAGGAGTCCTAAGGCTTCATCTCAGCTCGCCATCTGCTTGTTGCGTGATTCTGGACAAGACATCCACACTAAGTCCCATTTCCCTGTATACATGGGGGGTAGAAACACCCACCACTCCTACCTCCCAGCATGGTGGAGAGTAAGCTCATGCGCCATCCAATGTTCTGGAAGCGAGAGAAGCTGTGCAAATATAAGGCTTTCTACTCAACATCCCCACACCCATACTTCCCAGGAGCTGGAGTACATGTGGCACTTTGAACGTTTTTCAAAATACTTCACATCAATTATTTCATGAGGTGACTGAGAACAAAAAAGGTGTAAGGCAATGCAAAGATCTTTTTTTAAAGAAAGTAGAGGTAGAGCCAGGCATGATGGTTGCATGCCTGTAATTCAGGAAGCTCGGGGAGACCGAGGCAGGAGGATCGTAGCAGGTTCAAAGCCAGCCTCAACAACTTAACGAGACCTTATCTCAAAATAAAAAATAAGAAAGGGCTGGAGATGTGGCTCAGTTGTTAAGCACTCTTATGTTCAATCCCTGGAAAAGAAAGAAAGAAAGGAAATGTGGGTAGAAGCACAAGCTGAGCTGCAGCTAACAGGGTGGGGGAGGTCTCCTGAGTCTCAGATTTTTTTTTTTTTTAAATCTCCATCCTTTTCTGCCTTCTGACACCATTTCCGCCTGACTTGGGAAATTTAGGAGAACTCTGGATTAAGGTGCAAGAGACCTTTGCAAATTGAGAATAAAAGATGCTAAAGAGCTTGGTGGTAGAACACATGAGATGCTCAGTTTGATCCTCAGCACTGAAAAAAAAATCCAGAATAAAAGAAAATTATTTTTTATCTTTTGTATTAATACAGTAAAAAGATGTAGCAAAGTCATGATTCTGAGGCCATAGGCATGCATTTTTCTGAACCAAACACCTCAGTAGCTCTTTCTGCAGAAGGGCCAAGCTAATGGTGCCAAGCTAAGGTGGGGGTGGGGGAGCATGGGGTCTCCAAGTGGCTTCCCAGGGACCATAGGGAACAGTGCTCGGCTCCGCACTGTCCTTCTAGCTGGTGACCCGCGCTCCTTTTCTGCCCATCTGTCTGACATGCATTTGTTTGCATTGGCTGGGGTGCAGGTATTCAGAGCTGGTTTGGGTTTCTTCTCTTCAGCATAAGATAGCAAAGATGTGTTAGCTGCAAAAGCATTTCTCAAAACATCTCTTTCCCAATCCTTGCTCAAGCTAACCTCACCCATCTCTGATTATTTCCACTTGTCCGGCAACCACTGGAGCACTTACATATAATGTATCATTCAGTGTAATTCTATTAGTTTGCATTTAATCCCGTGTAGTCAGTGCTCTCATATATAATTATCACGTCATCTCCTTCGGACTTACACTCCTCCCCCAAAGACCAATTCCTATTCTTTCCCCCCAGCCCACCCTGCTATCTCTAGGCTTCTCACAAGGACTCATCTTCACACATAAGAGGGCTTTTACTCAGGGACACTCATTGCCTGCTGGCCAGACAGAAGGCTGAAAATCTAAAACCAGAAAAATGCTTTTTAGGCCACCATGAGCAGCTGGCCCTGTGCTAGACCCCAGATAAAGCCCCTAGACTCCAAGGCCAGTGTTGATCCACAGCAACCCCTCACATTCGAACAGCACAATAACAAGTGGTTTTACATCCTTTTCCACGGTCCAGGGAATCTCATCCCTAGACACAATCAGTGTTCCATATTTTTTCCCCTGAAAGGTGCCACATAGAGAAACCTATTGGTCAAACAGTAACTATAACAGGGAGATTCTTTTCCTTTTGTGAAAACAAGAGAAGCCACTGAGACCTAAGCCTCCACCCTGAGCAGGCTCCGGTAAGAAAGGAAGTGGGTCACAACATGAACACAAGAGTTCCTGTGTTTTGCATCAGGGCTGGGAAATCAGCAGCTGAAATTCCTGACTAGAGTGAAGCAATCCATCTGGCTTGGTCCGTCTGTTTTGGATGGAGCTTTCTCCAACTGGACAGAGGCAAAGGGCAAAGGAAAAGGTGATTCCACCAAAGTGCCTCGACTAGACTGCCTGGTCTCCTCCACCCTTGCTCCAGCTTCTTACCCAGACACGGACACTGTGGTAGGATGTTGATCAATATCAAAGGGGGATCTCTGGGACCTCCTGTTCAAGTTGAAATACGACATAAGCAAAAAGGAAATCCATGGAAGACATGTATACACACACAAACACACACACACACACACACACACACACCCTCCCCACTACAGACATGAATGATGGAGGGCTCAGTGACTTTTCCCTCTAAGAACTCAGCAGGCTTTTTTTTAAAAAAAATCACTAAAGACTAGAATAATGGCAACCATTTCACAGAGGAGAACTCAGACATGAAAGATGTGTAATATTGGAATTCCAAACAGATTATCTTCTGGAGCTATCTACAAAGTGAGCTGTGGCTCTGTGTAAAAGTTCTTGGAATTCAGAAACCAACAGGGCTAAGGGTGACAGGTGTGTATGTGTGTGCATGCGTATATGTGTTCAGCCAGTCCTGGATTCCAGCCTGACTTCCATTTCCTCGCAGTGGCCATGGGTCATTTGCTTAACCTGAGCCTTGGTCTCAGGATAATATTAAGCCCATGGGAGTTTCCCTGAGGATTTAATGAGCTGATGTACATTCCTGGTGCTCACTAATGCTATTTATTATTATTCTGTTAGCAGACAAGGAGTGAAGCAGTTATATTCCCATCCATTTGTCTGCAACTTTGTACAAGGCCCTGGGTAAGCACTAGG